GGGGGCAGTCCCTCGTGGTGGGGACGTCGGGGACGTTGGGGGTCCCAGGCCCTTGAGTCACCAGGATGAGGATGTCCCACCTCCTTTGGGGACATCGGGGACATTTGGGGACGTCAGGCCATGGTGGGTCTCCATCCCTTGACCCAGGACGATGATGATGTCCCACGTCCTTTGGAGACATCGGGGACGTTGGGGACGTTGGGGACATCAGGTCGTGGTGGGTCTCCATCCCTTGAATCATGACGATGATGATGTCCCACCTCCTTTGGGGACATCGGGGACGTTGGGGACGTTGGGGACATCAGGCCGTGGTGGGTCTCCATCCCTCGTTGGGTGACGATGATGATGTCCATGTCCTTTGGGGACATCGGGGACGTTGGGGACGTTGGGGACATCAGGTCGTGGTGGGTCTCCATCCCTTGAGTCATGACGATGATGATGTCCATGTCCTTTGGGGACATCGGGGACGTTGGGGACGTTGGGGACATCAGGTCGTGGTGGGTCTCCATCCCTTGAGTCATGACGATGATGATGTCCATGTCCTTTGGGGACATCGGGGACGTTGGGGACGTTGGGGACATCAGGTCGTGGTGGGTCTCCATCCCTTGAGTCATGACGATGATGATGTCCATGTCCTTTGGGGACATCGGGGACGTTGGGGACATTTGGAGACTTCAGGTCATGGTGGATCTCCATCCCTTGAGTCACGGGGATGACAATGTCCCACTTCCTTTGGGGACGTTGGGGACATTTGGTGATGTTGGGGACATCAGGCCGTGGTGGGTCTCCATCCCTTGAGTCACGAGGATGACGATGTCCCACCTCCTTTGGGGACATCGGGAACACTGGGGACATCAGGGACGTTGGGGACATCAGGCCGTGGTGGGTCTCCATCCCTTGACCCAGGACAATGATGATGTCCATATCCTTTGGGGACATTGGGAACGTTGGAGACATCGGGGACATTGGGGATGATGGTGGGTCTCCATCCCTTGAGTCACTATGATGTCCCACATCCTTTGGGGACATCGGGGACGTTGGGGACATCAGGTCGTGGTGGGTCTCAAGTCCCTTGAGTCAAGACAATGAGATGTCCATGTCCTTTGGGGACATTTGGGGACGTTGGGGACATCAGGTCGTGGTGGGTCTCCATCCCCTGATCCAGGACGATGAGGATGTCCCACCTCCTTTGGGGACATTTGGGGACGTTGGGGACATCAGGTCGTGGTGGGTCTCCATCCTTTGAGTCATGACGATGTCCCTCATCCTTTGGGGACATTTGGGGACGTTGGGGACATCAGACCAGGGTTTGTCTCAGTCTGTTGATCCAGGGCGATGACGAGGTCCCTCATCCCTTGGGGACATCGGGAACATCGAGGCCCAACAGTGTCTCAGTCCCTCCAACCGAGGTGACGACGAGGTGCTCGGTGACATCGCGCGGCGACGTGTCTCCATGTCTCGGGTGGGGGGCGTTGGGGACATCGGGGAATTTGGGGACACTGGGCCACAATGTCCCTCAACTTGGGGGACATTTGGGACACCAGGGACATCTCATGGTCCCCTGGGGGACTTGAGGGACATTGGGGACATCGGGCCATGGGGTGTCTCCATCCCTTGGGTTGGGGACATCAGGCCATGGCCTTGGGTTGGGGACGTTGGGGACACCAGGGACGTTGGGGATATCAGGCCATGGGGTGTCTCCATCCCTCAGGTTGGGGACATTGGGGACATCAGGGACATTGGGGACATCAAGCCATGGGGTGTCTCCATCCCTTGGGTGGGGGACGTTGGGGACGTTGGGGACACTGAGCCACATTGTGCCTCAGCCCCACCAATTTTTGGGGACATCGGGGACTTTGGGGACATTTGGGGACGTTGTGTCATTGTTGGGGTCACCATCGTTGGGGTCATCGTTGGGGCCACCAAGCCCCGATGTCCCCGTTGACTTCAGGGGGGGGTTCATTGGGGACATCAAGTCACATCGTGCCTCGGTCCCTCGATTTGGGGACAATTTTTTTGGGGGGTGGGGGGGTTGTGTCATCGTTGGGGTCATCGTTGGGGTCATCGTTGGGGTCACCATCGTTGGGGTCACGGGGGCCACCAAGCCCCGATGTCCCCGTTGACTTCAGGGGGGGGTTCATTGGGGACATCAAGTCACATCGTGCCTCGGTCCCTCGATTTGGGGACAATTTTTTTGGGGGGTGGGGGGGTTGTGTCATCGTTGGGGTCATCGTTGGGGTCATCGTTGGGGTCACCATCGTTGGGGTCACGGGGGCCACCAAGCCCCGATGTCCCCGTTGACTTCAGGGGGGGGTTCATTGGGGACATCAAGTCACATCGTGCCTCGGTCCCTCGATTTGGGGACAATTTTTTTGGGGGGTGGGGGGGTTGTGTCATCGTTGGGGTCATCGTTGGGGTCATCGTTGGGGTCACCATCGTTGGGGTCACGGGGGCCACCAAGCCCCGATGTCCCCGTTGACTTCAGGGGGGGGTTCATTGGGGACATCAAGTCACATCGTGCCTCGGTCCCTCGATTTGGGGACAATTTTTTTGGGGGGTGGGGGGGTTGTGTCATCGTTGGGGTCATCGTTGGGGTCATCGTTGGGGTCACCATCGTTGGGGTCACGGGGGCCACCAAGCCCCGATGTCCCCGTTGACTTCAGGGGGGGGTTCATTGGGGACATCAAGTCACATCGTGCCTCGGTCCCTCGATTTGGGGACAATTTTTTTGGGGGGTGGGGGGGTTGTGTCATCGTTGGGGTCATCGTTGGGGTCATCGTTGGGGTCACCATCGTTGGGGTCACGGGGGCCACCAAGCCCCGATGTCCCCGTTGACTTCAGGGGGGGGTTCATTGGGGACATCAAGTCACATCGTGCCTCGGTCCCTCGATTTGGGGACAATTTTTTTGGGGGGTGGGGGGGTTGTGTCATCGTTGGGGTCATCGTTGGGGTCATCGTTGGGGTCACCATCGTTGGGGTCACGGGGGCCACCAAGCCCCGATGTCCCCGTTGACTTCAGGGGGGGGTTCATTGGGGACATCAAGTCACATCGTGCCTCGGTCCCTCGATTTGGGGACAATTTTTTTGGGGGGTGGGGGGGTTGTGTCATCGTTGGGGTCATCGTTGGGGTCATCGTTGGGGTCACCATCGTTGGGGTCACGGGGGCCACCAAGCCCCGATGTCCCCGTTGACTTCAGGGGGGGGTTCATTGGGGACATCAAGTCACATCGTGCCTCGGTCCCTCGATTTGGGGACAATTTTTTTGGGGGGTGGGGGGGTTGTGTCATCGTTGGGGTCATCGTTGGGGTCATCGTTGGGGTCACCATCGTTGGGGTCACGGGGGCCACCAAGCCCCGATGTCCCCGTTGACTTCAGGGGGGGGTTCATTGGGGACATCAAGTCACATCGTGCCTCGGTCCCTCGATTTGGGGACAATTTTTTTGGGGGGTGGGGGGGTTGTGTCATCGTTGGGGTCATCGTTGGGGTCATCGTTGGGGTCACCATCGTTGGGGTCACGGGGGCCACCAAGCCCCGATGTCCCCGTTGACTTCAGGGGGGGGTTCATTGGGGACATCAAGTCACATCGTGCCTCGGTCCCTCGATTTGGGGACAAT